CTCGAGCGAGGCGCGAGGACGTAAGATCTTCGCTGATCAAAACAAAGCGACAGTGTAGCGTGCGGAACGACGACGGCAATTCGAGAATAGTGCTCTCTTTGAAAGCATGGAAAGGAAGTAATTCAGAGAGAAAGATGCGTATGATGCGTCGGAACGGATGGACGGCCGATATTTCCCTTATGATTAACGCGAAGCAACGGACAAGTAATTGTTACTAGGGATGCCGAATTTGTTGTCAAACAGATCGATTTAAAGATCGGTTCGAATGACGAAGAGAAAAGTCGATATTTAAAAAATCGATTTCAGAAAATCGATCAGAATCGGCTCATTAAAGTATACTATCTGTCAAATTTCTACACTCTAAAGTAGACCTCGTTTAATTATCATATAAAGTTTAATATGAATTAAAGAAATTAAACAGATGGTACTCGTTTGGTTGTGTTGTGTGTGGCCACAACAAGATAGACACAAAAAGACCTTTAAATCTTTATGCTAAGGATTTAATTGGTTTGATTGAACATCAATCAGGGATTCTTAAACGTTATTAAATAAGAAATCACGTTTACTATTATATGCATATACATATGTATATAATATATACTATTATATGAAGTGGCTGTGATTGGTTCGCGCGTTCCGTTCCGCTGAAAATTTTCGCCCGTGGGAGATCGGCCTAAAGGCCGAACGTAATGTGCATCGTGCACAGCCATTGAGTGAGTTCAAATATTACAACTAGATAGAATTAAAAAAAAAAAACTATATTACTACACTGTAAAAAATGATGTGTTAGATTTAATATATTTCATGTGTCTCAAATCATCCAGTCTCGTTTATGTGTTAATTTAACATACAGCAAATATGTTAAAAGAATAACACACATAATATGTAAAAAATTAACACAAAAATTTAACATTTGAATGCCGTCAAGAGTCACAGTTTGCGTTAAATTGACATAGAATGAATGTTGCTTCAACATTTGGGAAAAGTAATGATCTATGATTTAATGAAATGAAAATGTTAGATTGACATAATCTATATGTTAAAAATCCAATCTTCACATTACCGGAACTGTTAATATTATACATTTAACACAAGATAACTATTATAATGAGGAAAATGACAACACATCTTAGACTGTTGACTTCAACATATGAAATATGTCATAACAGGAATTCATGCATTTAGATATAAATTGTGTTACTTTAATACTCGGAAATGTCATGTTTTAACACTTGAACCAAATAGATAATCTTAATTTAACACAAGAAAGTCTAGGTAACACAGCAACGACACGTTAAACTAACGCACGACTGTGTAAGAGATTCAACACAAAACTTTCCACACGCAAATAATTTTGACAAAAGGTACGAAATGTATTTTTAATACTGCGTAGCGGAAACTGAAAAGATCGTATTGGCGATTTTCAGAATTTACAGATCGATCCTTGAATCGAGATTCAGTTCCAGAGAATCGATTTGAAATCGATCTTTCAGGCCCCGATTAGTCGATTAGATCGATTTAACATCGGCGTCCCTAATTATTACGCGAATCGAGCGATTGAGAGACCAGCTGTCGTCGATTCGTCGCACTGACCGTCCTCGCGGGAGAGCCCGCGTCGCCCGCCGCGGTGATTAGGCGGCCTGCCGTTATCGCGATTAGTTGCCGATAGCGGCGGACAAGAGGGCAAAGCTACAGATAATTGTCGAACGCGCTCGCGACTCGCCCGCCGTCGTCGTCGTGGCCGACGGCAAGATGTTAATCCAACCGACGTTCACGCTCCGATCCGCGCGACTCCTCGAGACACGAGCGGTGATTCGATGGCCGTGGGCCAGATGCGCGTTAAACTTTCATTCGGCGATTGCCGTCGAGTGCATCGATTTTCGACGCTTGATTCACGACGACGAGCGGATAATTCGCGCGAATAAAAACACGGGAGGTATTAAAGCTTCGTTCGCGGCCGGCGGGCTGAGCTGATCCTCGATTGCAGGCAGGAAGGGAAGAGAAGAAAGAGACGTATCTCGGGAAAATGACGCGTCGACGAAAATGTGAGTGTTATTCGAAGAAAAGTCGATCTGCAGTCGATCGACGCGAGTCGCGTCGTTTCGACGAGCGTAAGTCGCTTGTGCGGTGACAGGATTACGATACGAGACGGCATTGTGCACTTCTGTACGGTAGAATCGATTTCGAGAGGATTCTTCTGAACTCTTCGATGACACTCTCGTTGATACTTTATTTCGCTCGGCGGCGGCTGTCGTCGGTATGAAGAGACATTTGTCTTTTAAATACGACACGTGTGAGAATTCTCCCTAAATCTACGAATACAGCAGGTGAACATTTCTTCGCGGCTGTCAAAGTGTTGGACACTCAAACTTGGCGGATATATTTAAGCACACATTTTGTTTTCCTCTCATCGTTGTCATTTGCTTGGAAAGAGCCGTCCAGAATTACGATGCTGACGCTTAATAACGCATCCGCCAGAAATGTAGACGGAATAATCGTGAAGGCTGAAAACAGGCGACGTCGAACAGAGAGAGAGAGAGAGAGAGAGAGAGAGATAGAGAGAGAGAGAGTGAGTCGTGCGGTATCATAGTATCATTCTCTCTGTCACTTTGTACCGAATCCACGAGATGTCATCCGCGCTGACGTTTAAATTCGACCAATCTAGGATTAGAAATCGTCGAAACGTAGGACGAGCTAAATCCGCCGCGAGGACGACCGGTGTATCTAGGAAGAGCGCGATTAGAGCGCGCGCGCGCGCAGTTGAAGGCAGGAAACAATGACGTAATTTTGCGATGTCTTCTCGGTCACGGCGATAAGCCTGTTATCCGCGATTGAAATTCCGCAGCATTTAAATGCCGCGCGGCCGCCGCTTGAGCGCGTCGCTCTTTTCACGCCCACTTGGCGCCTGCGATCAATTTCTCCCGTGCGCTTCTTCCTCGCGACCGAAACACGCCGGGGCATCAGGGGCTGTCGATGTACGTTTCCCGCGACTCGCGAGATAATCGTCGAATAATAAATTTATCGTCGATAACGGATAGATTGAAGAGACTCGCAAGAAATGACACACACGCCGCCGCGGGCGTCTCCGTTCGCGAGTGGCCTGGCTCGCAGCCGAGCGATTGCCGGCCTCCGCGAAAGTGCGTCGCAAATGAGTCGCACTGGGTATTCCAATTAACGCGTCACTTGTCTCGAAGTGACGTCTGCGAGATGCGAAGCTTGGCGCGCTCATTGTCCCACCGCGCGCGCTCGCGCGCGCCGAAAATCGTCCGTGGCGATCGCGCCTTCCTCACTTAGAGAGCCTCATGGGAATAGAGTGGCAAAATTGATCACGTGACCAGGTCTCTGCTGATTCGATGGAGGCATAAAGTCTTCTTGACCGATCAGAATAGAATAGCAAGATATAGCAAGACGACAGGTTGCTTTTACAGTGAGTTTTAAGAGCAGTCTACAGTAGGAAAAAAAAATTTAGTATCTCCAACAAAACTGTTTGGTTGAGGCATTTTTTTAATAGCAACCAGATATCTTGTTTTATATAACAAAATATTTAGTTGCCTCAACTAAATATATTTTTCTGCTTTGTTCTCTCTGGAACTGCAGATGATTTTGTTCTTAGACTTCGTGTGTAAAAATCAAGCATTTTAGTTGTTTTATCCATAAAAATTACACAACAACGAGATATTATTTTACCATAAACTAAAATAATGCTCAATGGATACTGTTTTATCCTTCTGTGCACCAAAATTTAGATTTTATATATTCAGAAAAAAATTATAGTATTTTTGACAAAATTCATATAGTCAAAGCTTTTTGGTTGCCACAACAGAAGTATTACGTTATACGAACAAATCGTACAATCAAACAAGATATTTGTTTACAGGAACTAAACAGTTTTGTTGGGCATATTTTAACCAAATTATTTTGTTGTTACAACAAAATTTCGGTTCGCGCAACGATACATTTTTCCTAGTGTAGGCATCTTTTATACTATGCACAAGATACAAAATTATGTAAATAATATATATTACGATTCTTATTCTATGTAAATCGAAGCGACAAATATTCTTTCACAATTAATACTTATTACTTACGGATAATAATAATAACGATTGACAGACTGTTATTGACAGTACGTCAAACTGCTTTAAAAACTCCCTGTAAAACCAACCTTCGTCGCCTTCTGTTATATCGATATTCTAATTGGTCAAGAAGACCCCCATCCATTTGTGCCTCCATCGAATTAACAGAGACCTGGTCACGCGATCAGTTTGCCACTCTCTATCCTGACCCAAGCGCGTTCGGGCGCAACCAAGCACTTGCTCGTGCAAGATCGAAAGATCGTATTACCCAAAAATCTCGGATGGATGACGAATCGAGAAGCCGAGGTCACGTTTGAGGTTTCTTTCTTGAAACCGCCGCGATTATGTTTCCACGCGTGTTACCATGGCCGGTGTTTGCTTCCGACCGGCCTTGCGACAACAATGGCCGAGCATGCAGCTTTCCCGGCGTATTAATCGATCGACATCGACGTGACCTACGTTTTGTTCGAAGAGCAGCGAAGGCGCATTCGATCGTCATCGAATCCGCGTAGCCGCGGCGTAGTCGCGCGACTCTGCGTGTCGCACGATATACACGTCGAAGCGGACAGACCCCCCTCGGCCGTCGCGGGGGTCAATCGCGACGGAAGAATCTTCCGCCGGGATCTCGCATCGATCTCGCCCGGCACAGCGTCCCGCGATTCATTCGAGATATCGCACGAACACGACGCCGCATCGAGAACCCGCTCCGCACGTGACGTCCGAGTCGCGATATCAGAGTCGCGCAAATCCCGCTGTGAGATGGGAAAAGAAAAAGAGTCGTCATATCGCTCGCTATTATAGCACTTATCGCATGTGTTGCAAGTAATTGCTCGCAGTGTCGGTCGTGGTCGAGCCTTCGATAAACACCGTGGCGACCTATGACGGGCTGATAATCGTATCTATCTCCGACTTGTGTTTTCGAAGCCGGCGCATCGGGCAGAGCGACAGGCTCGCCGAAGGCTGATCAGGAAGAGGAACAGCAGTTGGATCGTACGGAGGAACCAGCGGACCCGACCAGTCCCGAGATGGGTTGCTGCGGTTGTGCGGACGAGCCGTCGTCCAAGGTGGAGCCCACGGTGAGACAACAACCGCTTGAATTATCGACGACTGTCCCGCGCACGGACTGTTCCCGATTGCGTTTCGCAACTCGCTCTCGCTCTCTCTCTCTCTCTTTCTCTCTCTCTTTCGTGCCTGCAGACTCCCGAGAATCAAGGCTCGCCGTCGAGCTACTCGCAGCCGATCTTCGTGAAGGATCGATCCTGCACCGACGTGTTGGCCGTGATTGTCCTGCTCGCTCTCGCCGGCGGATTCGTAAGTGATATGTCACATGTGTCTCCCGCCCCCCTCCGTTCACGCTCATTAAATGCACGGCGTTTCGTTTTCTCCGCGCTGATTTTCCACGCAGGCCTTCATGATGACGAATGTAGTGAAGAAGGGTGACATTTTCCGCGTGATCAACGGCTACGATGATTGCGGAAACGTCTGCGGCCGCGTGACCCCGGCCGAAAGCGACCCGAGATTTAGCTGCAAAGGTGGCAACATGGTCGACAGGAGGTGAGCGCGTTTCTACTGATTCTACTGATGAGGATCTCTAGGCCTTCGAGGATGGGCGCGATTTCGCCTCTATTATTTCGAGCTTGATTATTTTTATCTTGCGAAATCGATTATCTCGCGATGCCTTGCACCCCGACTATTCCGGCTCTCGGCACTAGGGAAAACGTATTGTTGCGCGAACCAAAATTTTGTTGTGACAACGAAATAATTTGGCCAACAAAATGTGCTTAACAAAACTGTTTAGTTCCTGTAAACAAATATCTTGTTTGATTAAGATTTGTTCGTATAACGTAATACCTCTGTTGTGGCAACCAAAAAACTTTGACTATATGAATTTTGTCAAAAATACTATAATTTGTTCTGAATATATAAAATCTAAATTTTGGTGCACAGAAGGATAAAATAGTATCCATTGAGCGTTATTTTAGTTTATGGTAAAATAATATCTCGTTATTGTGTAATTTTTATGGATAAAACAACTAAAATGCTTGATTTTTACACACGAAGTCTAAGAACAAAATCATTTGCAGTTCCAGAGAGAACAAAGCAGAAAAATATATTTAGTTGAGACAACAAAATATTTTGTTACATACGTTATATATACGTAAAACAAGATATTTGGTTGCTATTAAAAAATGCCTCGACTAAGCAGTTTTGTTAGAGATACTAAACTTTTTTTTCCTAGTAGGGAGAGAGGAAAATTCGAAAGTGACCATATTACGTAACCGTATTACGTGACTCTCGACGAGTACCATCGAATGTAACTCTAAAAGTTCAGAGAAATCTCTCGGTGGCTTGAGAATCTCGGCCCGAAATTAAAACTTTACCGATTGTGAAAAGTTTATATATTTTTTAATCAATTTCTTGGAAGCCAATTACCGTCGTATCTTCAACCGTCGCTCATTCTGCCAGGCTCTGATAAAAATGCAGAAAGCTTTAAATCAATTCCAATGTAGAAATCCCGCTGTATCGTTTCCTCGAATAATTCGACCGCGTTTCGCTCAGGTATCTCGACGTGGAAATGGAAACAACCGGAGTGAAGAAACGCACGTGTGTGGCCAAGTGCAACGAAATGTCGAATACAACGTGAGTATTGTGCGAAATCGAGGCTCGATATGTGCACGGCGTCACACAACGAGGCGCACACACCTTCCCGTCCTTCCCGTCAATATTATACGCACCGCCTCGGAACGGCGTGAGCTGAAAAATTAATCCGGCTCGAATGGCCGTTCTCACGTTTCTCCGATCGCGATCTTACGATCTTGCGATACGTGCGAATGACTGGATAATAAAATGGATCTTGATCGTCCGCGTTTGTTTCGCAGGATGCTGTTCCTGAACCGCTGCGTGCACAAGCATGTGACCGACACCATCAACAAGATAATACGGAACCTCGGCTTGGACAGCTTTTACAGAGTAAGTGGACGTTCTCGAAGAAATGTTTCTCCTTCTTCAAATTATCTGCCGCCATATCGCGCGCGAGGATCTCTTAGTATCACCGGGCTTTCGTCTCCTCAGTGGAAATCAATGCTGATCTAAAGCGATACCGAGGTGCGATGCGCGTGCGTGCACGAGCTACTCGATATCGCGTATCAGTGTCTTGTATATTCTCGGATATTCCCGATCTTATCGATAAGAGATAGCTTATCCGATGTTCCGAGAATATATCTCGCCTCTCGTGTTCTGTCTCTTCGCGCGCGGAAAATCCGCGCGATTGTCGAGTCTCCATTTAACCGACGAGAGAAGAGAGGGACATTTATCTTCTCTGCGAGATTTCACACGCCTTTGGACGTTTGCGATTGCTGAAGCTCATTTGACAGCGCGTCGCAGGTGCAATCTCCTTTGAGAAATAATCTCGCTCGCTCGTAAATCGGAGACTCTCAAATCGCATCAACCTGATTGCCGACGAGAATCTCGCTCGATCCGACACACGCTTGTTGCATCGAGTAAATTATATCACGAGTTTGCAGGTAACTGGCGAACTTTTTGTTGCAGGAAGCGGTCAACGATCTCGGAGTCGCTTGGCGCGAATTGGTTTATCTTCTGCTCATAGCTTTGGGTACGTCTTCCGCGTGCAGTCGCGGCGCGATCTTTCGTGTCACATCTCAAGTCTCCGATCGAACGTTCAATTGAACACGAGAGAGCCGCGACGTGCGCCGTAAATTCAAGAAATTCCAGGTCGCATTTCTCTCTGCATGCATGTGTGTGTGTATGTAACATACACATATGGCAGCGCCTGTTCTTCTCCCACCCGGAATGCGCCGCTCTCTCGTGTATTAAATTTCGGAAATGACTTTTTACAGCGGCGTCCACGCCGCGACGCGAAACTCGGCGGACTCGGCGGAGTGATTGATTGCGGCCGATTGCTTTTTTTGCAGCGTTCTCGCTCGCCATCCTGGTGGCCTTCCGCTATATGGTGCAATGGATCATTTATATCGTATTGATCGGCGTAATTATCGCCTGCATCGGTGGCACGACCTTCCTCTGGTAAAAAGGCAGCCATTCTCCCCCCCTCCCCCTCCTCCGCCCCGTAGCTCGATTCGCGTCCTCCGCTTCGGCGGAATTCGCAGCGAGACACACACACACGCTTTGTACCAACGCCGAGTTGTTGTTCGGCGTTTTAGCTACCTCGGGCGATACCTCGGTATTCCAATTTTAGTGCCGTAGTCGCATAAGTCACGCCGCCGGCATTGAAATTTCATCTTTTCCCGCGCAGGTTGGCGTGGTATCAGGAAAATAAGGCCGTAAAAGAGAACGCGATACCCGCCGAGGATTCCAGCGTGGAGCCCTACTTCATCTACGCTATTATTATGTCGGTCGTTACGGTAAGGGAACCCGTTATGTACCTGCCATTGCGCTTTCCCACGAACAATCCGCGCAGCAGACACACTCGCACACACGCACCACACGTATACAAGCCCGCACGCGTGTGTATGTACACACGCGCCTTTCTCGCAGGCTATCACGCTTCTGGTGGTCCTGGTGATGAGGAAACGGATCGCGCTGGTCATGCAGCTCTTCCGGGAGGCGGGCAAGGCGGTATGCGCGATGCCGGCCTTGCTGTTTCAGCCCATCTACGTGAGTGCATCTCGATTCGATTACACCGGGCTCGTATCTCGTATCTCTTGTCGTCGAACGGCAAAACGTCGGACCTCGCGAAATTTTCCTATTTTCAGACGTATCTGCTGATCGGCCTGACGGTGACGGCGTGGGTCTATTGTACGCTGTGGATCGAGAGCGCTGGCGACATTTATAAGAACTCTAAAGGTCACATCCATTTCCGGAAG